TCATCTTTGTGTCCAGTATTCGTTTTTTCAATCATGTGTCTAAAAATCTTCCCCTCACAACTCCTTCATTTGACGTCCTTTGAAAATGCCCGCTTCCAGGACCAGGTTGCGCCCTCCTCCCACTTTCTTCGCATCCCAAGGTGCATTCCCATCATGTTTCCGCCGGTCGTCTCGACACCCGCGCGCTTGGGAGATCCCAATAGGCCAGATTTCATGCAAAAATGATCGTCCCAAAGACCAGGGTGATCGACACATTTAGACTCATCGCGATGGGCAATCATATAAAACCCCCAGAAACATAGTGAATCACGTACTATTTCCTAAAAGCAACCACGCTCGGCATCACATCACATTGTAGATCATAGAAAGGTAGCACGACAAAGGGTGTTGAACACGTCAATTCAGGAACCGAGGCGGCACCGCCATTTCCTCCAGCCCCGTTCATCTTTCGTCTCTATCCATTGCTTTCCTCCCCAGGTCTTTTTTACAGGTCGAAACGGTTCATGTAGTATATACAAAGAATCATGGGGGAAAGGGAGAGAGAGAGAGCCCTAGTCGGAAGGACAGACTCCCCAAACCATGCCATGCATCGCAACGCCTCATTTTGGGCCGCCAGAATAGACCGATGACTTAACGGCGGAGGGCGGCGGCGCGCTTGGCGGCGCGGTACTTCTTGGCGGCGGCCGAGTTGCGGCGGACGCGGCGGCGCTTGCAGGTGGTAGGAGGCTGGTGGTTTGTGTTAGCAAGGCATCAGCACGAAAGAGGAGCGCAAGGCGATGGCTTACAGAGGTGGGAACAGGCGCCGCGGTGGTGGTGGGGGCGGCGGGCTCCTCAACGACGGGAGCGGCGGCTGAGGTGGTGGCGCCGGCGGCAGGAGCCGTGGTGGTGGGAACGGCGGGGGCGGCAGCAGTGGTGGTCGGGGCGGCGGGCTCCTCGACGACGGGAGCGGAGGAAGCGGCGGGAGGAGCGGGAGCGGGAGGGGCAGAGCCGGTGCCGCTCGTGGTGAAGTCGATGCAGCTCAGGTAGGTCTGGCCGGCCTCGTCCGAGTCCCAGAACCACTGGAGGACGCAGTTGCCGGCGGTGGCGCACTGGGCGGGCAGGGTGGCGGGGAGGTCGAAGCTGAAGTCGGTGTTGTTGGCGGCGACACCGGTGCGGGTGGAGGCGTAGTTGGTGAACTCGATCAGCGGGGTGCCGATGATGGTGTTGGTGGTGGTGTCAACGACAGAGACGTTGGCGATGCCGGTGTGGGGGGCACCGATCCGGACGAGCATGTTGACGGTCTCGCCGGGGCTGTAGGACTGGATGTTGGCGGCGGGGTTGTCCTCGAACTTGAAGGCCTTGCAGAGGCTGAGGTTGCAGTCGGCCGAGGTGAGAGAGGCGTCACGGCCCTGCTCCATGCCCTGGATGTTGCCGAGGGGGTCGGAGTTGATCATGTGAACATGG